ATCAAACACTTAGGAGCGTAGAACCTATTAATACTATACAATTTGATTTACTCAATTTTTGGCCGGAGAATGAACAAAAATGCCCTGTCGTTTCTGTCATTGCAAAAGATCTACTAACGCCTCCAATTAGCATTATAGCTTGGAGACCACTTTTAGTACAGAAAAGAGGACTCCGTCCAAGTTAAGAATCTGACTCAAAGAATATATTCTTAAAGCATTGATGTGCGTAAAGAATTGGCAAGACACATATTTTTGAATACATTATCTGTATGAGAAAATTGTGTATAATCAAGTAAATGATAACAACTTGTTCGTTTAAAATTTTAATTCTGCCTACTCGAAAATTAAGTAGTCGGTTTCAAGCCCGGATAAAAGGAGAGTTTTCAAAAAAAAAAAAGGTTTAATAAAAAATAAAATCTAATTTCAAATTTTCAAATCTTAACTACCAGACATCTTGAGTGAGTCAAGAGTTGTTGCTTTGCATGGAGAATGAAGCAGGTGAATGCATACCTTGTCAGATTAAAGACTCGAGGAACTATAATTCTGAACTCAATCAAAATGTTCTCTACATCATTAATGAAAATGAAGATTGCTTATTTTTTTAAAAATCAAGCCTCCGAAAATGAAGAAACCATCTCTTCAAATTCCAAGCATCGTCAATGACAATACCTGTAACTTGAGATAATGGATTCTCGTTTTTGGAAGCTTCATTTAACAAATAAATAAATTGTAAACATAATTAGTTGTTCGTATCCAATTTCAACTCGCCTACTCGCAAATAAGTAGTCGGTCCCTAACCCGGATAAAAAGAGAAGGGTTTTCAAATTATAATTTATTTATCTAATTTCAAATCTCAATTCAATTTATTATTTTTACATTTTACTTCTACAACTTCATAAATCTCATATTCATATAATTTAGTTATTCAAATCAAACATCATATAAATTTTATACATTAAATATTTCAATTTAATGAAAAAGAAAGATTGTTACATCATTATTTCAATTCTCCGAATAATTATGGTAGCCTAATAGAAAGGTTAAACAGAATACACACACACAGACATTGAGCTTGTGGGCCAAGTTTGGCTCGGCCCATGACCCACAACCCAAACTCATGGTTAATGAGCTCGAGCCGGCTTTGTTCGACCCATTGCCACCACTAAACAAAGGTGAAAGAAACTCTTATATTGCCTTGGCATAAATAACAGGAAGAAATGGGGTATATTCCATTTATGTTTCTAAAAATTCTATCGTTAAAGTAAGAGTATCTCTAAGAGATTATCTATTTATAAAAAGCATCTTGTTTATTATAAATATTATCTTTAAATAGAGAGAATAAATTTTTTTTGTAACTCTAACAATGCTATCTATTTTGACCTTCCATTTTATTTTTTCAAGAAACATTTCTTTCCATCTTTTTGTTTATTATATTTATTTATATGTTAATGACAAAACAATTCAAATAAAATTTGAATAATTTAAGAAATAGAGTATTGAAATATGTAACTTATTAAATGCAATTATTATAAAATAAAATTGTAGGGTGAATTTGATTCTTCAAATTTAAAAAATCAATTCATTCTCTATTTAAAAAAAAAAAAGTTAGGTGAAAGAATCTATTGGAATTTATTATAAAGCATTGACTCTATAATGTTTTAAAAGAGGTATTATGTAGCTATGTGTGGAGGCGAAGCTATGAGCTAGGCGAGCTTAAGAGAGGCATAGACGTAAAAAAAGGTTAAAAGGCGTTTTCTTATTTTAATATTATTTTAATTTTAATCAATCAAAAAATATTTAATAATTAAAAATAATTCCTATCAAACATCTAAAATAGATTTATAGAAACTTTATACATTTTTTCAAAGTTTCCAACAAAAGCATAGGTTGAAAATGTAAATACTAAATAGTAAATATATAGGAATTTTTGGGAGTTGTCATTTGTTTAAGGCTTCAAGTGGCTTTTTTGAATATGGGGCAGACAAAGTGAAGAAATCAATTTTTAAGTTTTAACTTAAAAGAATAATAAAAAATTTTTTTAAAAAAGATAATAATGTGCGCTATCATGCCTACGCGCGCATTTTGACCGCTAAATAAGGCACCTAGCCGCTTGGCTTGGTGTTTTCACCGTGCACCATGCCTAGGTGATTCCTCGGCGTGCCTGTTAGAACATTGCTTATAGTTAGAGAGTCTATTGAATATGCTCTAATATTGTTAAATTTATCTTTTTTTACAACATGCAAATATGAACATTAAAAAAATGAGGGTATCTATGCAATTTTTTTTTCAATCATTGATTGATAAATAAGGTGCCAAGGCACTTGACTTGGCGTTTTCACCGCACATCGCGCCTAGGTGACAATGGCAAATATACCTTAATATTGCTAAATTTATCTTTTGTTATGATGGGCAAATATGAACATTCAAAAAATGAGGGTATAGATGCAACTTTTTTTATTTTTTTCCAAAAAAGAGTTCCATGATATAAATAATTAAAAAAAAAATCTTAGTGATTAAACTTATCGTCAAACTTTGGAATCAATTAAAAATATTTCTAAAGTAGCGTCCAGATCACTTAAAAATTAATCATGCATTCAGTGTATTCCAAGTTTGATAGTTCCAAAAAAAAAAGAAAAAGAAAAGGCGTTTTTTCCTCCAATCATTTTTTTATATCTAAGAAAGTGGCAACCATAATGTACACTTTGGAGTGTACGAATGGCATTCTCTATTAAAAATACTTTTATAGAAGCGTCCAAGTAGGGTCATAGTAATGTCAATATCGATATCAATCATCCTGAACCAAGACAAGTCAAGCAAACAAGCAGTGTTGTCTTTGAAGACTGTTCATATGAGCTGAATTGTCCAACAATAGAATTCCAAATGGTGGACCAACAATAGAGAAATTTCCACAATATTCCCTCCCATACACGGCAGCGTCCACATTTAGCCTCTGTTAGACAGAATTTGTATTGAAAGAGTGAGTTTTTGAATAGCAAATTTTTGAAGAATATATGGTTCAAAAGTAAGAAAAATTTTAAATTGCCATAAAGAATATTTTATTATAAAGAATGATAATTAAACATGGACTTAATTCAGGCAACTTCCCGGCTGCTGGGGTGGCTCTTGATTTCAACCTTGCTAGAACTTAAACTGACTGAAATTCCTTGAGGTGGGCCAGTGTTTAGTCAGTATTTAATCAATAATGTGTTAATTGGCAGTATAATTCAATTTCTTTAAAATAAAATTGGTGTTGACCCTAATTATCATGAAAATTGATGGGATGTAAATGAAGGAAAAAATGTGTTAGGAATGCAGAACAAGGATTATCCAAAAAAATAATTTTATTTTTTAATTTAAGAATTCAGTATCGTTACTACGTCTTCATTTATATTTCATAATCAAGAAACGAAGAATTCGAATTTACCCAAATTCAATTTTCAATTCTTGAATTGGTCTGAATTATAAATCTCTAACTCTCTAGATTATGGACTTCAAGTTTTCTTGATGCTTCGAACTTTCAAACTTTTTATGGTATTCTCTAAAGTCATGATTACACCGACACATGAACGCTTTCTTTTAATTAAACCAGAAATCGAATTGTAGATTGAATTGACCAAGAAAAGATCAAGAAAATAAGAAAATGATTTTTCCAACATTTTCTCTTTTCTGTTAAAAAATTTTGCCCTTATGTACCTATATTTATAGGCACAAAACCCTTGTCATAGATATCAGCTTAGGTAATAATTTGATATAATTTCACATGTAGTCCTTGAACTTTAATCACAATTACAATTAAGTTAAAAAAATTTTAAATAACTCTATATGAGTCTAGAAAATTTTTCGAGCTTGCATATGACCTGATCGAACATATATGAACAAAACTTCAATAATTAGATCTTGTCTAATCGATTCTAAACCATTCAATCTAGTTATTAATTTTTAATTTTTTCCCCTAAAGATAAAAGACTGCACTTTTTAAGTATATGTACACACACACACACACACATTCTCCCTCTTATTATTCTGACTAACTTAAGTACTATTTTCAATAGTCATGTGAACTATTTATAGATGTCAAAGTTTAGCTATAGCTAAGCATTGAGGAGATTTATAATTGTTCAACAAAAAATACTTAAGTAGTCACTTTACCCTTATTTATTTATGGGCCACGACATAAATTAATGTTATCTGCTTTGCTCATTCTCAATCCACCAACTCGCTGGATATTTGGTCAATAAAATTGATCTCATCCATTGATGAATTAAAAATCATTAAACTCCCGAATAGATACACACGACTCCACAACGATCAACTCAAATTTAATTCTCGCACGATTATGCCATAGAATTAAACTCGACTTGTGGTATATTTAATAAACTCTAAGTGTAGTAGTTTCGTCTTTAATTATTTCTACGATAAGGATAAATCGCGAAGCTTGAATAGTGAATGAGTCAATAGTACAACATTTCAGTACAGGAGTCAACATTTATACCTTGGTTGTGAACGAAACATTTATAATCAAAATATAAATTGTGTCATACTATGCTTTCTCAATATAAGCACCCAACTTATATTATCACAAGTGATCACATACTTTTTGATTCGAATGTTTGATATCAAATACATGCAATAAATAAAATCATAGTTTGTTTATTATATAAAAAAATATTTTATAACCAAAGAAAAATATACTACATGGGTATACAACCCAGTAGAATCTAAATTAGATCTATTTAATTTGACCTTAATTTTTAAATTCATGAGACGATAATGGATTAATTTCCAATTTTTGTTCTAGAATGCATAGATATTTGAAGCATAATCTTCACCTTATAATACTTGGGACTCGCCAATTGTTGCCATGACTGTATTGACAATTTCTCAATCCTCTTATGATTTAATCCAAGTCAAGAAAAGGTATGAACACTGGACCACATATTCAGTCAATATAAGTTTTAGATTTATTTATTTATTTATTATTAATTTTTAATATTTCCAGTCTGTGAATCTATTGAACATGAAAAACAGAGTGAATGAGGGGCAGAACAAGAACCATGGATATACGAAACAAATATTTCCCCTTACTTTTTGTCTTCACCTTTTTTATGTTCATTCTGAAAATCTCTAATCAAACGGATACTATAACTAGTACACTGATCATTAGAGATGGTGAGACCCTGGTTTCATCTGGCGGAAGCTTTGAATTGGGATTTTTTAGCCTAGAAAATTCCAATAATCAATACGTGGGCATGTGGTACAAGGAAATACCAGCTAAGACCGTGGTATGGGTTGCCAACAGAGAAATTCCCCTCACAAATAAATCTGGAGTCTTGAAGGTTATCCAACCAGGACTTCTAGTTCTTCTAAACGACACTAATGGTGTCATCATATGGTCTTCGAATACATCACGACCTGCGAAAACTGCAGTTGCAAAATTGCTGGACTCGGGAAACCTCGTCGTGAAAGATGCAAATGATGATGACCCAGTGAACTTTCTATGGGAGAGTTTTAATTATCCGACTGATACATTGTTACCAGGTATGAAGCTCGGTTGGAACTTTACAACTGAATTAGAGGTCTATCTATCATCATGGAAGAGCAAAGAGGATCCAAGTTCAGGAGATTTTACATATCACTGTGATCCTACTGGTTATCCACAAAATATCTTGAAAAAAGGTTCAGTTGAGCAGTATAAAACTGGTCCTTGGAATGGTCTCCGTTTTAGTGGGACACCAAACTTGAGGAAAAATGATATTTTCAAATTTGAATTAGTACTAAAAAAAAAAGAGGTGTACTATCAGTATGGTCTCCTTAACAGGTCAGTTATCTCAAGGTTTACATTGAGTCCGAGTGGAGTTGCCGAGCGCTGGACATGGATAGATCAAAAATGTCAATGGAAAGTTTACCTGACTGCTCCAACAGATAATTGTGATACCTATAAATACTGTGGTGCATATGGTAGTTGCAATATTGCAAATTCTCCTGTTTGTGGATGTTTAAATAGATTTCTCAAAAAAGATCCTGAAGCTTGGAAGAAGGCAGATTGGTCAACCGGGTGTGTTCGCAGAAATCCATTGAATTGTCAAACAGATGTATTTCTCAGGTATTCTGGTATTAAATTGCCAGATACACGATATTCCTGGTATAATGAAAGAATGACACTCAAAGAATGCAAGATAGAGTGCTTAAACAATTGCAATTGTTCTGCTTATACTTACTTAGATATAAGTAGAGGTGGAACTGGATGCTTAATTTGGTTTGGAGACTTAATTGACATCAAAGAGCTATCAGCAGAAGGACAAGATATCTACATTAGAATGTCTTCTTCTGAATCCGGTAAGGATTTATTCGACAAAATGCTTAACTATTCACGACATGTCTACTGTTTTCTTTAAGTATATCCAAATTATAATATTGAAGATTTTTCTCTAATATAACATTTTCGTGAACTTAAAACTTCTGAAAATCTCATAATGAGCTCAAACAAAGCGACCTCCTTTAGTACAGCTTTACTTTTTTAGATTCAATCGATTTAATTTTGCAGCTTAGTTTCAGGGCTTCACATTAGCTTCAATCTATTCTATTAATATTAGTATCCAAAAACTGGTTTACAGATGCAGAAACTTTCATTATAATTATGGCTTTCACTGATATTATATATTACAATAAATACAGGCTTAATAGAAAGCTTATCCCAAAAACACACATATCTTTGAATTCAAAGGAAGTAGAATGTTTACATTACTAGACGAACAAGTAGAAAATAGGATAATTCGGAACTTACTTTCCTTTATAGATGATGTGTGAGCTTGTCACTTTCAAGGATGTATCATCATTGAAAAGCAATCCCTTTTTCTTAATTTTTTTTGGTTAATTGTGCAGACTTGAAAGGACAGAAAAGAGAAATTCTACTAGTAAGTTTTTCGTTGTGTATGGGAATAATTCTGCTGGGTCTGAGTATGATTCTGTGTGTTTGGAAAAGAAAGATGATTAACCAAAGGCTAAGAAGAGGTATGCTAGCAAAATCTATGATTTTTTTATTAAAGACAAGTGGAGAATCCAATCTTATCTATGCAAATGGAAACCGTCTTTTGCTTTTCTCTATGTTTTAGGCGGCCTTGGACACCACTTTACAGACAATCACCATGATGAAAGCCACAATAAAGACATAGAGCTACCACTGTTCGACGTACATACAATAACTAAAGCTACTGATAATTTTTCAATTAACAATAAGCTTGGAGAGGGTGGGTTAGGACCTGTTTACAAGGTAATACATATTTTTTTTAATATAACAGGGCCGGCACTACAATGGGAATTGATGCTTTCAAATTTCATTCCAAATTTTATTGATGTTTAATCAGCACACCACATCAAATATTTTGTTCACAGAATAATTTGGAAATTTACTCTTCTACGAAATGAAGTCTTTAGTACACATAAAGGCATCAAAATTACCCTTCCTCACAAGTAGAAAGTGGGAGGAAGATGAATTATGTAAATCACTATCATAAAAAATGAATTCCTTTTACATGCTTGATTTCTGATATAGGGGCGGCTGGAGGAGGGGCAGGAAGTTGCTGTCAAACGGCTATCAAGAACTTCACTTCAAGGATTCGATGAGTTCAAGAATGAAGTCATTTGTATAGCTAAACTTCAGCACCGAAATCTTGTGAAGCTTCTGGGGTGCTGCATTCAAGGAGAGGAAAAGATGTTAATTTATGAATACTTGACTAATAGAAGTCTGGATTTGATTTTATTTGGTAAGAAATATTCATCTTGCACAATCAGGAATTATCACATTCTATACTGGTTATCAGTTATACAGTGAAGTAAACTAGTTCCATAAACATTTAATCAAATCCAGAGGAAAGATATTCTGATCAACTGTAAATAGGGGAGCCGTACGAGGAGAAAACTTCCTATATGTTTATAGGGGGTACTGTTCATCTACATCTATCCCAATGAGCCGTCTATCGAATCGGACTTTCTCTTGAAGCAATAACGCGTTAATCTAGTCGCCACCGGAGCCACAAAGGACTGTCACGCTCCAGGAAAAGATCTCAATATCATATTCGCCTAGAAGAAAAACAAAAATTGCGTTTTCGGCACGTCATTAATCTTTATTCTATGTGCTGTTTCATGCTATTGTATGCTTGAAGATACTTTGTTATTGCTACTGGAAGTAATTTCTCATTTCCTTTATCCAACAATCAAATTATTCTCATGACAGCGATTTTTTTTTTTTTATTTCTTGCAGATCCAATGAAAAGTACAGTTCTTGATTGGCCGAAGCGCTTCCACATTATTAATGGCGTTGCCAGGGGCCTTATGTATCTCCATCAAGATTCATGTCTCAGAATAATCCATAGGGATCTCAAAGCCAGCAATATTTTGCTAGATTCTGACATGAATCCAAAGATATTAGATTTTGGCTTGGCTAGAAGTTTTGGAGGAAATGAGACTGGAGCTAACACGAGCCGAGTAGTTGGAACTCAGTAAGAATCTCAATCCCATGATAAACCAAATTCTCTTCTAGTGGTTATAACTGAATTTCTTGGTTAATTTATCACGCAGCGGTTACATGTCACCAGAATATGCAGCAGACGGAGCTTTCTCAATAAAATCAGATGTATTTAGCTTTGGTGTTCTAGTGCTTGAGATAGTGAGTGGCAAAAGAAACAGAGGATTTTCTCACAGAGATCACAACCACAACCTTCTTGGACATGTAAGTACGATGTGTTTATTTCTATCTAATTTGTAATGAAATTACTCCATTTAGAATTTGGGTTCCAAAAATGGCCCTCTTAGATGAGTTCAAGTAGTACAGGCATGGAGGCTTTATAAAGAAGGTCGGTCTTTGGAACTTGTCCAAGCACACCCTGGTGTCTCGAGTGATATATCAGAAGTTCTGCGATTAATTCATGTGGGATTGCTTTGCGTTCAACAATGTCCAGAAGATAGGCCAAACATGTCTTCAATAGTGCTAATGTTGGGAAATGAAGGTGTATTGCCTGATGCTAAAAAACCTGGTTTCTTCACAGAAAGAGATTTGCTTACTGCTGAAAGTTCAACCAGCACAAATGTCGCATGTTCAATGAACGAAATGACCATTACATTTCTAGATGGAAGATAAATATATATGTTACATTAGTCATCCAAATTTTGCTTGTATAATTTTCCAGCTAAAAAATATGACATTTCAGCTAGGATACTAAATTGTATCATTTGTATTTCTTCTGTTATATACTTGATTCTTCTATGTTAGTTCCACTACTTGCAGGAATACGATTCACTGTCAATCATGGCCAGGTTCAAGTCAATTGAAAGACAATGATAAAGACTACATTTTTGGATATAGGATTGTTAAAATAGGCTGGGTCACAGACTCACATGTCCAAATTGGCACGGGCAATCCATAGCCTGGCCAGAAGGAGGTGCCTAAGGTCCGTGTAGGCCTAGATTCAAAAGAAGTGGAAGCCTATTATGGGCCAAGGGGTCACCTCAAAACCAGGCCCGGTACAGTTGCCACCTCCATTTGCATGTGGGTTTACTAAAGTGGAAATTACATAAAACCAGGTACTTAAACTTTCAAATTCAAAATTAAGGGGTGAAGTTTATTTATGCAAAAATCAGGTTTGAATTTATTTAACCACCCACCCCACCACAAAACCTAATCCCCATCACCGTGACCCCATCTCTATTTTTCTCTCTATTATCTTCTCCCTATTCTGACACACCCCATCCCATGTAACACTACTGGATCCGGACGTGGCATGCGCCGATAATAGATACCAACTAAAAGTCGGACCCATCATCAAGGCTACTACAAGTACAATATATCACTTTTTATACATCATTTTTCTAATAGAATTTCGGCATTATCTCCCCTGTAAGCAGGACTACCCAACCTGTGATCAATTTCACACAAATCTCAAACTATAACACAACACAATAAAAATAAGCTTAAACCTCAATTTTTACCAAGAAATAAAATGAAATGTACATATGGATACAAAATACATAGTGAGCCCCATAACTATCTACAAGTGATGCAAAATCACATCTAGACATGAACATGCGTCCCTGACTACATGCTCTACAAAGTGAGTCATACTAACAACATCTGTCCTGTAGCTCTGACTCTAAAATCAAAGGCTCAACTCCAAAAGATGTCCTGAAACTCAACTGCTGTCTGATAAGGAAAATGTGGGAAAATATATGAGTTGATAACTCAGTGAGTGGAGAAGTTCAAAAATAAATATACTTTTTCTATTTTACATTTTTATCGAAAATCGAATTCATATCATTGAATAAGTCACAAGATAACATCATATAATTATAGCCAAACGTGAGATATTCACATAGCGTCATAAAATATCCTCTCAAAGTCAAGCAATAAACATCAACTGATAACTGTACTATAATCTCATCATATCCAGTATCCTAAAAATTCACCAAAAATGTACCCTCTGACTGAAATCTACAATCCGCCCCTCGAGCTAGGAACTTTTGCCATAGGCCTTTGGTCCCCTCCGTGAACGAAAGCCGGTCTCCAAGACCTTTCATAATCAATTCTAGAACACGGCTAAGGCCTCTCTGTGAACAAGACCAATGTCCGGTCAAGACCCCTCCGTGTAGGAAAGAACACGGCCAAGGCCCCTCTGTGAACTAGAAGAAGTATATAATCATGGGTACTTTTCTGATCGATCTCAATATCATATGTCTCATATACCAAATTATAAATGTGCCATAAATAATCTTTGAGATTCCATATGTATCATAATAAAAGAGATTTCTGTAATAATCATAAAATCGAACACATAATTGCACATACTTTACAATGTGCTTAATTTATAAATACTTTAAAAATATTTATATTATTCACTCACATAACTATGTACTCCAAAATCAACTCGATTGGTACGCTGTCCCGATATCCGTATCGTCGCTTGAAATACGATATAATTTTTTAATCAATAATTAACTATTTTAAGAAATTTCATTAATTAAATAGGCGATATCCAAACTTAATTATTTCGCGTTTAGGCGATTTCTAAAGCCTCTTTAAGTATTAAAACTAATTTTTCTTTCATTTTACTAAATTTCCTAGTTTATTTTACTTAACCCCTTCAATAAAATTGAATTTAATCTAACAATCTAACAACTATAAAATTAAACATAACCTTTCAATAAGTAACTTTTTACTTACCTTTCAAAATTAAGGAATTCAAGCCTAATAGGATGGAGCACTTAATTCCTAACACGTTGGAGAGTTTTTTTCCATTTTTTTATTTCTTCTCTTCCTCTTTTCTTCTTTTTTTTTCCTTTCTTTTTCTCCTAGTCTCGGCTTTCTTGGTGTGTGAAGTGTGTGTGTGTTATGAGATTTTGATTGTGTATATATATATATATATATATATATATATATATATATATATATATATATAATGGATTTGGATAAATTTATAATGGATTGGTTTGAGTTTCCACTGCCTACCATTTCTTTTGTCCTCGAAATTCAATTGACTAAGTGCGAAAAATTCGAGGATACTAAGAACGCATCTGCTCTTCACTTTCCCATGTCACTGCTTCTACAGCGTGATTTCTCCACAAGACTTGTAGAAGAAGTGACATGGGATAGTGAAGATTTTCCTTCCTGTCCAATATCTGAACTGATTCTTCTTCATAGGTAAGATTTTCCTTCAACTCTACTGGCTGTGATTCCAAAACATGAGATGGATCTGGAATATACTTACAAAGCATAGAAACATAGAATACATCATGAATTATGGACAATTCTGTTGGCAAAGCCAATCGATATGCAACTGGATCGATGCGTTGAACAATCTCATATGGGCCAATATACCTCGAACTCAATTTTCCTCATTTACCAAATCTGATAATACCTTTCCATGGTGACAATCGTAGGAAAACTCTATCCCCGATATCAAATTCAAGGTTTTTTCTGCGTCTATTTGCATAGTTCTTCTGTCTATCTTAGGCTGTCTTTAACTTTTTTTTAATTATCTTTACTTTCTCAGCGGTAATCTGGACATATTCAGGACCCAATAGCTTTCTTTCGCCAACTTCATCCTAACATACTAGAGTTTTGCATTTCCTACCATACAATACTTCAAAATGAGTCATTTCTATACTCGAATGATAACTGTTATTATAAGCAAACTCCATCAAAGGAAGACGAGTTTCCCAATTTCCTTTAAATTGCTCCTAACATGTCTTCCAAAGTTTGAATAGTTTTTTCTGACTGACCATCTGTTTGTGGATGAAAAGCTATACTGGCAAGACACAACTTCTGATCATCTGAGCAACCCATAACATCAAATACCCTCTCTATCTTGGTCATCCATGCCTGCGCAACTGCAGGATCGACTGTGCCAGTGAAAACTTTAACCCTTAATTTGTAGCTCTCTCAATATTGAAATATCTATCAGTATTACGCATGGCAGATGCAACAACAATAGGATCAATTCCAATCACATTTCCCTGTCCTCGTTGTTTAGGAGGCTGATGAACTGATTCATCTACTCTCTCGGGCTCTCTTAGTTCATCTCTGTCAGGAGCAATGTGAGATTGGGACAACATATCTTGGAGCCTTCGAGTTCTACCACTACGAGTCATGACTCACCTACAGTTAATGCATGATATGCGAATGATCAGTATGTATGCATGTACAATGCAAACCCATGGACTCTAATGCATGCTCTGATACCAAATTGATACACCTCGCCCCATGTAACACTACTGGATCCGAACATAGCATGCGCCGATGATAGATACCAACTAAAAGTTGGACCCACCATCAAGGCTACTACAAGTACAATATGTCACTTTTTATACATCATTTTTCTAACAGAATTTCAGCATTATCTCCCCTGTAAACAAGACTAACCAACCTGTGATCAATTTCACACAAATTCCAAACTATAACACAACACAATAAAGATAGCTGAAACCTCAACTTTTACCAAGAAATAAAATGAAATTTACATATGGATACAAAATACATAGTGAGCCCCATAACTATCTACAAGTGATGCAAAATCACATCTAAACATGAACATGCGTCCCAAAATACAGACTACATTCTCTACAAAGTGAGTTATGCTAACAACCTCTGTCCTATGGCTCTGACTCCAAAATCAAACGCTCAAATCTAAAAGATGCCCAGAAACTCAACTGCTGTCTGATAAGGAAAATGTGGGAAAATATATGAGTTGATAACTCAGTGAGTGGAGAAGTTCAAAAATAAATATACTTTTTCTATTTTACATTTTTATCGAAAATCGAATTCATAGCATTGAATAAGTCACAAGATAACATCATATAATTATAGCCAAACGTGAGACATTCACATAGCGTTATAAAATATCCTCTCAAAGTCAAGCAATAAACATCAACTAATAACTATACTATAATCTCATCATATCCAATATCTTGAAAAATCCATCAAAAATGTACTCTCTAACTGAAATCTATAATCCACCCCTCGGGTTAGGAATTTTCACCACAGGCCTTTGGCCCCCTCCGTGAACGAAAGCCAGTCTCCAAGACCTTTCCTAATCAATTCTAGAATATGGCCAAGGCCCCTTTGTGAACTATATGTACACGGTCAAGACCTCTCTGTGTAAGATAGAACACAGCCAAGGCCCCTCTGTGAACTAGAAGAAGTATATAATCAAGGATATTTTTTGATCAATCTCAATATCACATGTCTCACATACCAAATAAATCTCAATATCACATATCTCACATACCAAATTATAAATGTGCCATAAATAACCTTTGAGATTCCACATGTATCATAATAAAAGAGATTTCTATAATTATCATAAAATCAAACACATAATGGATTTGGATAAATTTATAATGGATTGGTTTGAGTTTCCACCGCCTACCATTTCTTTTTTTTTTTTTTTTTTTTTTTCTTCTGTCTTTTTTTTTTTTTTTTTTTTTTTTATTTTTTTTTTTATTTATTTTAAAATACTTTTCTTTCCATTAATTTAAGATATTACATATTCTCTCCTCCCTCAACAACAGTGGCGTCGGCAAGCCGATTGGCACCTTGCATCGAACAATAGCGAGGCGCTCTCACATAGGATGATTATCTTCTCCCCTACAGGCCAATTATCTTCTCCCCGTCTCTCCTCTCACATAGGACAACAGCGAGGTGCTCCTCTTGCGCAATGATGTTGAAGATGGGAAATGGCAAGAGGCGGCCTGGTGTGCAGTAGTGTTTTTGGTACTGTGTGCGATACCAGTAC